CACTTAAACAGTGCTTTCTTTACAAGCCCTCAGAGGAATAAAAAAAATCACCAACAGAAAGCAAATAGCTCTGCTAATGTTGTCTGAGTGCTAGAACTAAAAAAAAAAATAAATCTTAATTTTCATTTTTTAAGTTTCTTTTCTCTTCCTATATAATTACTTTTAGAATACTTAAATTGCCATCCAAACTTATCTCTCTGTTCTTTTAAACTGTTCTGCCATACTTTCTCTTCTGGCCCAGTTGCACCTGTCAGTGATGTGGTATCCTTTACTACTTAAAGGGGTTTTTTTTTGTTTTGAATTGGTATCTTCATTCCAATAGGTTTACTCGTTCAGCCTTCCTTGTTTCTACCAGACTTAATAACATGCATTTTGTGGCACCAGCATCTTCCTTTTTTTTTTTTTTTTTTTTTTTTTTAAATGCAACAGAACTGAAAATGAGAAGGGAATTTCAGAAATGTGCAGCATATTACAAGCCTCTACCTTAAAAAATGACTCATGAAAGGCCACTCTGTTTCCTACAGAGATCCTCACATACTAGAAAATGTAGAGAACTGTTCAGTTCCATTTACCTGACAAATATCTTCCCACAAAGGGTTACTTGAGACAGTGCAATAAAATTAAGGCAATAAAACTGTTAAAAATGAAGTGCACATCTATTTCTCATTTACAGTCAGGTCACCACTGGCAAGTGCTGAATCTCAAGAGAATTCCACTAATCCACAGAATGCTCCAACAGCATTTAGTTTGCTGTTTGAATCTGGTTTAGCTGAAAGGTACAACTAGACAAATATCTCCCTATAGGCCATCTATATGAAAATAAAAAACTTTTAGTTGTTCTTACTTTTAAAGCAAATTGTAATTTATGTTTTTCCAGCTCAAAATTCAAGCTTTACAAAAAACATCTTAAATTCTCAAGGGAGACTCAAGCTGCTTAGACAGAAGTTATAAAATGGGTGGCTGTCAATCTTTGGCATCATGCAAAGGGAGTCTTGAGTTAAACATTAAAGGAAATCAATTTAATAACTCCTGCGGAGTATCACCTGTTGCTAAAGACTAGACTCAACAACTATCATTTAGGTATTCTTTGTTTTTTCAGTAGTGAGCATGTAAACCTGGAACAAACTTATAAGAAGTCATAATCTCTGTTGTGGAGTACTGTCCTGGTTTGAGCCAGCATTTAACCTTGACAATTACTCCTTACCCAAAAGAGGACAAATAAAATCAACTGAAAGAAGAAAGATATAACATGTTACAATTCAGTCAGGTGAATGAGTGAGGAACACCATAGTTCTATTCACTTACTTATTGACCAAAAGGTTGTCTATCTGAGAAAAAAGATATAACTAGAGTTAATTTGAAACCTGGATGAAAATTACCATTTTGAAACTATGCAAAGAAAAAGTCATACAAGCATTGTTAAATTAGCTAAATAGTTAAATTTTCAGAGATTTTGGTAACAATGTTAAAACAACTAGGGAATATGAATGCCTGAATCTCCTGTCACTCTGAAGCCATAATCAGAAGCCACATACCAGAAACCTGATAATCTGTGGTTCAGATCCTTGGCAAAATTCATCTGATATAGATGAGCTATGGAGTAGACATGCTCCTCTTTCTTAGGAGAGTACCCTTAAAGACTGGAATATTGAATTTGCTGTGATACAGCAGTCTCACTTCTCTGCTTCCAGAGTTTTCAGTACATGTAAATAATTGCATATTTACTGTAGCAAACCCTGGAAATCAGCTGTCCCCTAATATCCAAACTATGAAGTTGTTAAGTTCTTAAGCCTAAAATGATTTCTCTTGCTTTGAGTTTCAGAGCAAAAAATTCAACTGATTGTGTCCTTTAATCAAAACTGGTTTATGGATGGAACACTCAAAAATTTGCAGGATTATTCACTGGAAAAACCCCTTTAGCCCTAATTAATTACTAGACTACAAGATGGTATAGTTTCCAGGCATGTGAAGAGTAGGATTTTTTATTCAGATCTGTTTCTAAGCTGTATCCAGTTACTGTTTTTTAGCAAATAGACTGATGTATGTAAGCGTGAGTAGCATAAGCACCATATAATAAGAACAGTGTGATACTAATTTAGTTCATAAGTATTTGCTGTAGTTCTAATGGTTCTGAGGATCTTAAGTATTTTCTCAAATACAAATGTAAGGGATAAAACAAATACAATTAATTATTTTTTTCTATTGCATCTGTGGCCCTGAATAACATTGCATTCAGCAGAGAAATGGGGCTTAACAAATTGTCACATACTTAAAAGAATGTTTTAACTGCTCATTCTTTCAAAAATATTCCTTTTCAAAGATGACCTCGAGATTTACAAACTGAAGGAAACTAGGACCAACAAATAACAGGATCTCATTCAAGAGATGTGACAGCAGCTATGTTTCCTGAAACAAACAAATCTGTAGATTTTTCATCATGGTGTCTTGAGGTCATCATTATTGTAATCAGATCTGCAAATACTTTTGCTAACTTATATATAGCCACACATTTGACTTAGAGTAAATTAATTCTAAGCAAATAAAAATGTTAACCTTTGAATTTTCTGGAAAAGTTGGGATTAAAATACTTCTGATATTCTTTGTTTAGCTGGAAAAAAATTAAGTTTCTCTCCTCATAGCATTGCATATATTTAGATGCTAGCTACTAGTAAGGACAAGCAGTAACTAAGTAATAACATTTTTCTGCTTGACTTACTGCCTATATACAGTGTATTTCACTGTTCAGTTACCTGTTGAACTAGGGGTGAAGGAAAAGACTAATATCTGCATTATCTGCACATGCTTGGCACACAGGCCTTTGGAGCAAATGCATAATTGGAGGACAGGATGAGATGAAAGAGATTTTTATTATTTTTTTTTAGCATGCAGTATTGAAAATGTCATCAAATATGTACCATAACTAATAGAATAATAAAATCAGACCTGAGCCATAGTGTTAATGGAGGGTTTGAAAGTGCTACAGGTGGCAGCTGATCGTAGCACAGAAGCCAGGCCTTTCAAGTAGATCCAACTGTTAGACTTTATTTATTTATTTATTTATTTCCCATAAAATATCCACATTTTCATTTGATATCCTGTAGTTAATTCAGTGATCAAATTGTTCATATCATTTTCCTTCAGCTGGTTTTATTGAACTTAAAAGCTCAGGCTTAAAGCTGGAAGTGTCATTATACTTCTGAGCACTTTCTTATACCATTTCTTCTCTTTCTCCCTCAGTAGCAATGAGCAGTCATTGCTGCAAATGTGGTAGTGTTCCCCGTGTTGAACATCTGATTTATTTTTCTAGTGGGTACCTTGTTGGTAAAAGGTGCTGGATGGAAAGCTGGGAAAAGAGCAGTCTAATTTTGTGATGAGTTCATAAAGCAGTAATACCAGTGGCCTTGTGACACCTTCTAATGTACATGATGGTTCCTATTTCAAAGGACTTACTCCAGGGCAAATGGAAAGGATAATCTGTGTCCTTTACTCATCATTTTTAAATATACCTAGACTGCCAAATGAGAGATTTTCGAGAGAGTCTGATAGTCATATCGGTTCAGAGGGGAGCAATTCACTGCTTTTTGTGGGGCAGGTATTTGCCCTCAGAGAACTGGATCAAAGCCCAGCAGCTCTTTTGAACAACTAGATATTGACTGTGACGCTGTTTGAAGACATTTTTGCCCCTTTGGCAGAGATGACCACTCTTGTATGTCTGGTAACTGAAAGATCTGTGTGAACATTTCCAGTTTCCTTCAGGAAAAGACAGAAAAGAATCTTGGCACAGTGGGCAAGCTTCAAGTACCAACAGACACTTAAGGGTGACACAACGTAGCAGAGGTACATGGAAGAGGATTTCTGTTCTTTTCCCTGTGAAAGCAGGACAGTCACAGAACAGCTAACTGCACCAAACAAAGCAACTTCTGTGTACTTTACTTTCTCCATGCATCACAGTTAATGTCACAAATGCAACACATTAAAAAGTGGAAATTACTTTTGTATTTTATTTTTTCAAAAGAAATCCTTAACAGATTATTCTTCAGCTTCCAAATATTAAAAGAAACTCTGTATTCTTTATGTTTCTTTCTCTGATAAGAGACAAAATGTTCTATTAAGAGTCAGTTTTGATCTGTAAGGTTACACTGAAACAAAATTATTTTTCTTTTTGAATAATGTTTGAATCAGTTATATTATCCAGCCTTCTTTCTCTGTTTTATCTTTGCTACTACAACATGTTTTCATCTTCTGTCATTTCTACAGTTAGATCTCCATCAAAAAAAACTATATTAGGCTACAGCCACTCTGGTTTCAACCAGACTTTGTTGAGAATACAGCTTATGCTGAATACGCAAACATTTTCTCATCAGAAAAGGCCGTTTCACTGACTTGGAGCTTTTCTGGGGGAAAGTGTTGGGGGTTTAACTCAACTTTCTTTTAAACTCAAAAGAAAACATGTTTTCCATTATAAAATTACTTTTCTTTAAAAAACAACATTTTTGCTGTGTTATGGTATGAACCCAAAGAGCTGACACTGGAATGAATTGTCTGAAATAAACCTTTTTTGTAGGGGAAATTTCAAGCTTTTGTGTTGTTGCTCAGAACAAAAGAAGTCTTCAAGTGATGTTAAAGGTCCTATGGTATGAAAGTTTCCTATCTCAGGGAAGCAGGAGCAGCAAAAGAAAATCCATAATTTGCTTCGTATTTCATTACTTATTAAGGAAATTACAGCATATGATAACTCAAATAAAAAAATTAAAAAGATATTTAAAGATCAGGGTGGGTTTTGTTCCCTCTATGAACCTGTCCCTGTATGTACACTGTAACAGTCAATCCAGTTATCTGCTATGTGTTTCTTGACTCCTCTTACAGTAGAGCAAATTAATTTTTTTTTCCTATTGCATTTTGAGAGAAAACCTGTTTTTCTAATGTTTTGTATCAGTGAGAGCTCAGGGGAGTTGCAGTGGTTCAGTAGCTCTTAATGATATTTTTTTGTTTTGCTCTAGCTTTCCAGATCAAGACATTCGCAGAGCAGCAGTCCAACAAATAGAAAATCTGTCAAATGATGAATTGTTAACATACCTCCCACAGCTGGTTCAGGTAAGGAAGGTATTGATTGCCAAGGAAGTCTTCTGTCCAGATAATTAATTTAATTACATACTTTTTATTCGTTCAGTTTGATTGATAAATTGTAAGAGGAATAAATAGCAAAAGCTGGTCAGGAGATGCAATGATTGAGTTAACAACAGGGCTGAGCTATAGACCATTTATCACTCAAGATAATGTAGCTGTTTGGCATGCTGAGTGAACTTTTCTGTATACTACAAGAAGGTATTTTCAAGTTAAAAAGAAAAATAAACCAGGGGCTGGTGGTCAAGGAAGCATGTGTTGCAAAAGTTCTTTAATACAACATATGTAGGGATTAATCATTGTAAGCACAGAGTGACCAGAGCAATTTGGGTGTAGAATTGTCTCTTTGTAGATGTACATTGCATTTCACTGAAAATTGATGTTTTAAAAGTTACAGGCCCACTCCTTCTAAATAAATGACTTTGTGGATGAGTAGGTCCAGTGTTGCAATTGAGGAAGAACCAGCCACTTTGAAAATTTTATCCCATTACTTTTTAATACCATGCCCATAGATTACATACAATTCAACATTTTAGAATTCCTCAGGGTATTTTAAAATATATATTTATATAGATACATACACATCTACACACATAACTAGATAGGTATGTATGTATAAATATATAAATATGTTTATGGAATCTGCTACTGGGAAGCAGTGGAACCTGCACAGCTTTACAGCATTCACAGTCACACAAAAATACACTTATGTGATCTTTTCACCTTCTACAGCTTCTGTTTCACAAATAATTTTATTTTTTTTTAAAACCAGGTAATCAGATAAAAATTTAGGAGGGGAGAAGAAAAGCTGCATATTTACATATATGTTAACACAGTCAGAATCAGGATGATATCTGCATTATAGAAGGTGGCAGATGTTTGTGTCCTGAAGATTCTTTGCTCACTGAGATGCTAGGGCATTCTCAATGGGTTGGATTGCTTCATTCAAACTAAGCACTGGATCCTTTCTGATTAATTTTGTTATAAAGAAAAGACAACAAAGCAAATTTACAAATGATTCTTCCTATTAATTTACCTGTCAAGGTGCTCAAGTTTGAGTGGAGCCTTGAAAGCCCTCTAGTGAAACTCCTGCTAAATGAATCGTTCTCTTCAGAGCATCCAAGTGGCCCATCAACTTTACTGGTAAGATAATTTGCCATTACTGCCATTGTTATTTTCTCTTACAGTGAACTTTATCCATTATTCTGTTGGTGACAAACTCTCTTTTCATTTAAAATCAAGAGAAAATCTAGTTTTTTGCTCTCTCTTTATTTTCCTTTTTGTACTGGGTATGGGTAAATTATGTAAAAGACCTACTTATCGCTGTCTTCATAGTGCGTTTCACAGGAGGGATGGAAGTTCTGTTCACTTAAGACACCATTTGTTTATTTCTGCATTTTCTGGTTTGAGCCAAAAATAGTCTTCCTCAAAATTTGCCAGCCCCAAGCATCATTACCTTACTTTTAGAGGATCCTGCTTTTGTGACTTTTCTTTGCTCTCCTGAAGTTGTCAGACTTGCCAAGTGTGTCAAAATGTATCTCTTAAGCCTTTGTATATCAGTCTGACTTGTGATGGTAGTTTCCAATAGTTCTATTTCATGGAGATGTATGAGTCCTTACAGTAACTGCCATTCACCATCTACCTCTACAATACAAGGACCTCTGTAGTTGTATTGCAACATGGTATTCTGTTTGCTGTGCTGTTACTTCAAGGCTCTCTGAATAGGAATGTGGCTTTCTTGCTGTCTAAACAACTGCCTTGTGGTCTGAAAATCAAACTGTTACAGGCTTTGGTTTTTGGTTGTTTGGTTGTTTTTTTCCTATATAATAATGATGGATGAACTGAGCTTTCATTTACAGTTCAGCTGGTTAAGACCCCTTAAAGCAAAACCTCCCTGTGAAAGAGGGACAACAACTTGAAGTGTAATCATTTGGTTGATGAAGTGTGAGGTTGGAAAGAGCATAGATCATACTTTCATACCTCCATGGTCTCTGGAAGTGCTAGAGGAGATTAAAAAAAAACAACACACATTTAGTGAGTCATTTTTCTGACAGCACCTGAAATATTCCTGAGCAGATTCCTACTATCTTGTATTAAGCTTAGTTATACTGGATATAAAATGTCCAGCTTAGAGTCCTTAAATGTGCCCAGAGAGTTGGCAGTTGTTTGTTACAATTAGAAATTATTTCTAGAGTTCAATGGGTAGTGGGAATGCCATCAGTTTGCCTGTGTTTTCTTTAACTCATCTCTGCTTCCCAGAAGAAAAATTACTAAGTATCTGAGGTCTTATTTCTCTTTGCTTTGCCATGTAGACCTGTGTAAATCCCCATTTTTATCCTGAATTTTTCTCAAGCTGTCTAATATTATAATCTTGAGTAATATATAATAATATATAATAATATAGTAATATATAGTAATATACTCTGTCCTGACTTGTTGATATCCTTCCGTGGCACAATTTAATATGGCAAAATGCTTTCATTTTTTATATAGCTTAATATATAGCATAACTGTACATCAAATAGAATATTTCTCAGTGCTCACTGTATTCTCTGCCTTTCACCTGGTAGTAGCCCTGTTCATGTAATCCAACCATGGATTGTTTTTCAAGCAAAAATACTTAACACTCAGCAGCTGATGTTATCTCCATTAGCAGTTGGAGATGACATCAGCTGCTGAGTGTTAAGTAATTTTTTTTTTTCATCTTCTGCTTTGGTTGCAGATGGAACAGGTTACTAAGTTACACATTATTGTGGGTACTTCCCATAAATAATAATTCTGCTTTTATAAATAGTGATTTGCTATTTATCCCTAAATAAACAGTATATTTTACCTTGGTACCTAGAGGGACAGCTTTTGATTAAATCTCAAAATCAACATGCTTTTCTATGTATGTATGTGTCAATGTGTATGTATAGAAATAATATATATACATACATTTCTAGAAATAATAAAAGAAATATACCTTTTTTCTTCTTCTTCTTCTTCCATATAATACAGAAAAGTAGTTTCTCTAGTTAACATTCTTCATTATTGGCTTCCATTATTGTTGTACTGAGTCACAAGACAGAAATGGATGTGACTTTGTGAGCATTAGGACCTTGTCAACATAACAAGAGAGTACGTTGCCAGCTAACAGCATCTGTTGACTTTCCTTGTAAACCTAGTCATCCTAAGACTATATGGTCAGGGCTTCCTTAGCCAAAAAAACCCCAGATAATATAAGGAGGGAAACACTGTAATAATGGATCAGATGTTGTATATTTGAGTTATTTTCCATGGAACAGCCTGTCAATAGGCTGCAACAGATTACTTGTTTCTGAGAATAAATTCACCTAATGGCAATGTCTTAGGATATGGCAAAACCTGGGAGAGTGGAGAAACATGAGTGACTATAGCAGACAAGTAACAGCAGCCACCTCTGTGGTACTCATCCTTGGAAGGACAGTGGTACAGTGGACCTCCGTACACATAAGCGAGTGGTCATTAATTTTAGGTGGGGAGGTGGTTTTGCATTATGAACTTGCTGGCTGCTCTCAGTTTCAAAAGTTGTTACATTTTCAAGTCTGTCTAAACCTGTGTGTGTAAGATGTATGTTTAGCTGCACAAAGTGATTGTGCAAGCGTCCAAAAGTCCCATTCATTTCAGTGGAAGGAGCTGGGGTATCTCTTTTATTTAGGCTTTTTGTTCAAATGTTTCAATCTAAACTGAGAACTTAAATATGGCACAGAGCTTGCATTCATCACACTACGCTTTTTCCTTTGGTTACTCTGCTGCACCCTGTTATTCAGTATAAAACTGTTTTCTGCCTAACATTTCAATGTATTTAGTTATTCATATTCTTGTTCCAGTATTTTAAAAGGCAGTTTCCCAAGTCATAAATGCTTTTTAAAAAAGATATTAAAAATTTCATCGTTTTTATTAATAAAGCCTTAATTAATTCATTAAGCTTTTCCTTCACAAATGTAATGTCAGTCCCTACAAAAGTAATGGAAAACAAAGGTTTTCTTCCACTTGTCTCTAAAGATATTTTTAAAAGAGGCTCAGTGATTTAATAATGTAGGGAACATGTGTGCATGTATACTCATGTTACTTCTTTTAAGAAATGGGATTAGGTAACATTTTATTCTCAAGTGTTATATTCTGTTTTATTACCAGATCAACAATCAAGAAGCAAGGACTTTTTAAAACAAACTTTTGTAACAAGATTATTTTTAATTGCAATGAATTACATTACCATTTCACTATTAAATAATACAACATTGTGCACAGTGTACCTGCCCAAAATAAAACTTGGAAAAGTAGACTCTAATTTAATTCAGAAAACTGGTGATGTGATTTCAGAACCACAGGGGAAGAGTAAGCTGATTTTAACTTCCATGTTTTGCAACACTGTTGTAAATCTAAAAACTAGTTAACAGAATGGGTGGTGATTGTCAACACTGACTTATTTTAATGAGAAATGTAATTTATAGTAATATCTCAGTTGTTTAAAATGGACTCAATTTCCCTGTGCACCAGAGAAAACCAGTTACTCAACAAAGGTGTACCAGCTCATCAACTTTTTAATATTTGTGTTTTCCTCATGTTTAGGTGGAACATCACGTGCTCTAGTTTGCATCCATTGCTCCTCATCCTACCACAGGGCACAACTGAAAAGAGATTAGCCCCTCCTTCTTGACACCCACCCTCAGATATTTATATATGTTAATAAGACCCCCTCTCAGTCTTCTCTTCTCTAGACTAAAAAGCCCCAGGTCTCTCAGCCTTTCCTCAGAAGACAGGTATTCCATTCCCTTACTATCCAGTGTTGGACAGTAAATTGTTATCTTCTTTCCATCAAGCAGTGATATGTTTCTCTGAAGATTTTATTTTAAAATTATGGGATGGAAATTGGCAGAAGTGAACAGAACAGAGAGAATGTTAATTCTTAGGAAACATGTTTAGCTGTTGTAAATCCAGGGTACCTTAAGTCTGTTTATTTGCTTTGTATCTGCTGCAAATTTACCCCATTAATTCTGCTATTTAGAGTGAAAAGGTACACTTACTTCTTACACTCTTTGCTTGTTTGTTTGATTTTTTTCTTACCATGCATAACTTTTCTCCTGCCAAAATTCCTGAGAAATTTGGGCCATCTGCATCCATCAATTTTTCATCTCCATGTTGGTACTTTTAAATACGTTCCACTACTCAAGGAGACTGAAAATTGCCCATGCATACAGTGCCAGCACAGGACCTATATACCACTTAAATCCCATTTTACTCTTATTTCAAGAGTTCCTAATGTCCCCGATGCATGAGGAACATCTACTGTGCACCACTGTCTTCTAGAAATTCACTCTGATTCTCATCTTTTCGCATCAGAGTTCTTGGTAGAGGAGAAGGCTGGAGCAAGTTTTCCCATCCCCTGGAGCTATGATGAAAAGAGAAGTTATTAAATTTGTTCTAGCAAAGCAGGAAAGTTGCTTGAAGAGAAAGAAACCCACTTGAGCTCCTTTGGGTCCTTCTGCTTGCAGAAAGTCTCTGTTTATCCCCTTGCTATTGTGTTTCACAGGCAGGGTTTTTTTGCCAGCATTTGTGCTGAAGTTTTAATCTGCTGCTCTGTCTCCAGCAGCCTGCCAGTTGGTTTCCCACTTGCTTGAGCATTTTTGGCTTTTAGCTACTTTCATAGGTGCAGCTGCAATAAACAATTGAAACAGCTGGCTAGGGCAGCAGGTGGCCAAGAGTACGTCTCACAGATGGTTGCCTTCCACAGGAGGATTGAGTAACAGGGAGAAGTGCAGTGTCCTCTAGAATCTGTGGCAGCTGCTTGAAGGTTGTGCTAAGAAACAGGTTTGATTGTCATGGAAGAATACGAATGTTTGTAAATTTTGCTTGGGCATGAGAATCTGGTATGCCTTGCTCAAGAAAAAAGGAAGTTAAGTGAAATCCTTTCTGAAGGCAAAATGTCCTTTGGTAGCTTGTCTTCTCAGTTCTTTTAGAGTTTTAAGTTACCGAAACTTCACAAAACTTTTTCAAATTGTAACATTTCTCTACATTTTGACTGATAACCAAGAGAAAAGGGAATAGTCTTCTATCTTTTCCAGTCCACATCTCATAGATAAGCACAAATGTGAGATTAAAAAGGAACTCTTAGTGAAATC